CCTAAAGTCGTATCATATGCGTAGAGCTCTACGTTTAACTGTTATCATAAGTATTTAAAGTATGAGGTAATGTTTTTTTCGCCTTAACTATGGGGCCAGACAGACAGACTGACAGAGAGACAGACTGACACACTGACACACTGACAGACAGGCAGATCGCGCCCGGACACGAGCTGCTGCCATATCAGATATGCACACACACACACACACACACACACACATGTGCATGCATATGTGTGTGCGCGTTAGGTCTAACTCCGTGTGGCCCAAATAATAAATATGTATGCATGTATGTATATTAGTCATATGTACATACATGCATATGCATGTGTGTAGCCATATGGGTGTATTTATATGCATGTGTTGGGCGCTGATCCGGCAACGCTTGCTTTCCATGGAAGAAAAGGAAACGGTGTTTGCCATCAGCTCAGTGTAAATACATACATATGCATGTGTGTGTATCTAAATATTCAAAATTCATGTAACTGTGTATGTGTGTGTGTGTGCTTACATATTCAGATGCATATATGTATATATACATATATGAATATATGTAGATATATTTCTATGGGTTTCTTTACGCTTATTCAATTATGCATTAAATTATTTAAGGTTGACGTGGCTGCCCATGTAAATAAACGATATTTCTTTGAGTGCTGCATGTGTCGTTGTGTGTGTGTGTGTGTGCGAGAGAGAGAGAGAGAGAGAGAGCAGTTACTTGGGTGACTCTCTTGAACTTTTAAAGGGGAAATTAATTTACAAATGTTAATTGAAAGATATTTTTAAATAGTTTCAATATGAATGAGTAAAGTTAAAAGTAAAGGACTCAAAATGTATTCCTCCAAATATAAAAGTTTTTCTCATTCATAAAAATGTTTTCTCAAATGTTATACATTTTTTGTTCTCATCAAGTTTCTTTCTTTCTGTAGATAAGTTCAAGAGTATGACACGCCCATCAGCTGCCCGTGCTTTTGTTGTTGTTTTTGCTCCTAAATTCTTGTTGTTTTCGTTCCTTTTGTTGTTTATACGCGATGTCTGCTACTGAATAAACTGATCCTTAACGTAAACGCTTGCAATCGCATGTTTCTTTTTCTAAGAACCCATGATCAGAAGTTAACGAAGAAAGAGCAAGACGAAGTATAGCTTGTGCCACACGGAACTCTTTAAACTGATTGCCTTTTGAGCATAAACCTATTTGTTTGTGAATGCATTTTTTGCAAGAGTTCGTTGGTTGTTAAAACGCCGATCGGCAGGCGGGTTATATGGCAGCATTTATAATGTTTTCATAATTTTTTTAAATGCATTTTCAATAATTAACGCAAAAGAGCAACGCTCAAAAGTATGCAATGAAAAAATGGGGGAGAAGAAAATGGCCAAAATAAACGAAAGCTCTTTCGGAAATTCTGTTTAAAACCTAAATATATTATGCATATAGAGGAAATCTATACAAGCTGTTCAGCTAGTTTTCCATACCAAAGACTTTATCATTTAGCTGGATTGCTCAGTTTGTAGCTAGATTTAAGAACAGATTTAAGAATAGCTGAAATCAAACGAAACGAAAACATGCGACTGTCATTTCGTTACTCTCAGAGTTAGATATTTTTCTTGTTTTTGTTCTGGATGTTCTTGCAGCATGTACTCGTACTTAAGTATTAAGTATGCTATTTGGTTTAACTATGCTCTCACTTGTTTACTAAATGAATTGTATATATATAATGTACAAATATTTAATTCTCTATATAATGTGAACAAGCTTTGCGACTATTATTTTTTTCAATGCTTCTCTCGTTTTTTCATATATATATATATATTTTTTTTTTCATGGAAAAAAGTCAACTATATGCATATATATATGTATATGTATATATATATATATATATATGGCTAGATCTCTATAAATATGTGTGTATGTATATATATATATTTTAAATATATCTATTTAATAATAAGTATTGTATGCATGTTCGTAAGCATATATGTAGAGATACATATGGCTCATGTCATTATTATATTTAAAAACTGGTTTCGCTAACATTTTCATTTTTTGCATAATTTCTTACAGATTTCACATCTGTCTGCATGTAAAGTTCTATATATATATTCATGTCTGTTATGTTTGTATAAAACTGTCTACTAAAAATGTATAATTTACGCGATTGCTTACAGAATTCACTAAATTTCATATTCATTTCTACATATGTATATATGTGTGAGTGTGTGTGTGTGTATGTGTGTGTGTATATATATATATATATAGATAAATGTATGCATGCACGAATGTATTGATTGGTTTTTATCTCATACGTACATATATATGTATGTATGTATGTATGTATATAAAAACACAAAAAGAGTTACAATATTTATATAAGAGCGCAAAATGCGCTGCGCGGCTTATTTAATTTATATTTCATATTTACAGGGTATCATCTCGACGTTAAATGCGTTCAATGGCGCACTAAGCAGTCGATTAGAGGAGCAGAGGAGCAGGGGAGGGTGGTAACTGCTCAACAGCTTCCCTTATGCCTGGCTCTCTGAGTGCGACCACTTCGCGTGCCTTGGGTCCTATGCCCATACAAATAATTACATATACAAATACATATTTATAACATATTTAATATTTACTAACAGAAATTGGCAGTTTCTCATGGAAATAGCTGTACCTATGTTCGTATGAATGTGTATGCGTTGCGTGTGTGTGTGTGTGCTTATGTGTGTCTGTCTGCATTGAATATATGGTTGTGTGTGTTAAGCACCGCTACATATGATAAGGTCGTGTCACGAGCAAACTGAAGCTCATCTCTCTGCCTGCTGTTAGCTCTCGCTTTGGCCTTATGCGCTGCTGCAGTAGGCGATCTCAACAAGTTTTTCAACAAGGTGGCAAGGCCATAACAAATGGCAAATTATAAGAGAATAACTTAACACATAAGGACCAAACTCTGTAAGCTGGAAAAAAAAATTAAAAATATTTATAACGAAATAAAACAAACTTTTAAGTTTTTGTGTCTTGCGGTTTTTGTTCTTTTCTTCTTTTTTTTGTTGTTTTTTTTTTTTTCAAGCTGCGTTTTGAAATAAATCCAAAAAACCATATTTATTCAAAACTGCATTTGATTTCTTTTGTATGTATATAAAAATTTTTTTTTGTATTTTTGTTTCTTTTGCAAGAAAATGTGTATAAATAAAAAGAATTTTAGCATTAAGATAAAATGATTTATGTGTAAGATAAAGCATACTAAATAAAACTCAATCAAAAATAAACAATTGCTAATTACTTTTTTCGTACTTTGTTCTCTTTCTTTTCAATTCTAACTGCGTGTAAATAGGCTGTAAAAATATATGTATATATATATATATATATATATATATATATATATATATATATATATATATATATATATATATATATATATATATATGTATGTATATGGTTTCATATAAAATACAAAAATTGTATGTATTTCTCTCGTAATTATATCTGTGTGTGTGTGTGAGTTTTTGAAAACTTTTGTTGCAACAGAAAAAGTGCACTGTCACGAAGCCAAATTTAAGAGAAAGCACAACTCTCTGTGCGTTATGTCTGCGCTCTTGATTGTTTCATTTGGCTGCTGCGATGCGCTCTCTTTACTAATTGTCCATTCATTTTTTTGTCACGCCTAACAATAGCTTTATGTGCATGTGAGCGTGCGTATGTGTATGTGTGTGTGTGTGTGGGTGAATTGAATTAAAATAAACTATAAATAATTATGTAAAAATATGTATTTTGTATTGTGTTTATGTTCTGTTCCGTTTCGTTCTGTTCGTTTCGCATCATGAGAGAAATGTGTTTTTCCTTTTCATTTTTTTTCTTTCGTAAATTGCTAAATATTTGTGCAAGCTTTTGTTTCTGGCCGAGAGTTTTGGCTACAATAATTTTATTAAATGTCTTGCGAACAAGTACACACACTCAATTTGTTAAGCAAACATTTGTCTGAAGAGGCGCCACGCCCGCGTGAGAGTCCTGTGTGGGCGGGCGCCGCTTAAGCAAATGTTTTATTTACTAACAAATAAATATTCGAATTCTCACAAATTCAACAATTGCATGGCCATAAGATCACATAATCATATAATCGTTGTCTAGAATCGCCAACATTTCGGCACAATTACAACTTAGAAATCTTAGACAAATATTTAGCTTATATTAAAAAAAAAAAAAAAGGAAAATAAACAATTTGCATTTTAAAATTTGTCATCATAATAGATAAATTATAATATTGTTTTTTTTTTTTTTTGTTTTTTAGCGATTTTTCGATTTAAGTTGATCGGTGAGTGGTCTGGCTTAAACAAATTTAAAACTCCTAAAATTTGCTTAGCTACATTTCAATTTCTATAGTATGATATATTATATATATATATATATATATATATACATATACATATATATATATAAATATGTTTGCATATGTATATATAAAAAAAAAATATTTGCCTTAAATTATATAATGTATGATAAGTGGAAAATGTTATAGCTAAAGGGAGGAGGAGGCGGTCAATAAAGATGAAAGGTTAGAACATAAGAGAGAATAGAAATAATAAAAAAATTATATATATATATATATGTGCATATAGCTTCATAATATATAAATTTGTATAACTATTTGATAAGTAGATGTCTAAAATAACGTTAGTTTAACTGAACACATTTTGAAGTGAGTTTTGCTGTAGCTGTGTGTGTGTATGTATCTGTGTAATGTGTGTTGTGTGTTGTGGATGCGTGTGTGTGTGTGTGTGTGTGTGTTGAATGCTTGCTTTGTGTGTTGGCAGAAATCTCAGTCTAAAAATGCACACACATCAACTGCATTTGTTGTTGTTGTTGTTGTTTTTACCCCTTTTTTGTTTGCTATTGCGTTGAACAAAAAATAAAAGTAATTTATAAAAATAATATATATATATATATATATATATATATATATATATATATATATATGTATGTATATATGCATGTATATAGAGCAAGAGATAACCTATAACATGAACTAAGTGCGGTGGTGTCTGTGTCTGTGTGTGTGTGTGTGTCTGTGTGTGTGTGTGTGTGTTTGTGTGTGGGGGTGTTAAAATGTGGCGCAGCGCTGAGATCGCACTGCATTTAGCTAGCCAGATTGCGCCCTATAGCTGCCACATGGACGGCGGCGGCAACAGCAGCAGCAGCAGCACCAGCGGCAGGCCAATGCCCAGCGATAATACCAGAAGCAGCAGGATCATGAGCAGCGTCATGGTGCGCACCTCAAAGGAGCGGCGCCGGCGGCTGCTTGATCGATTCAAGGCAGCAGCACCTGACGTTGCCGGAGGTGGCGACAGTGGCGACGGTGGCAACGCTGCAGCAGCAGCTGCTTGTTGCTGTTGCTGTTCCACTGGCTGGATGCGTTGCAGCTGCTGCATGAGACGCGCGAGTCGCAAAGCAGCCGCGGGCAGCGCCTGCGATACGTTGTTAAAGCTGCTGATGGTAGTGGCTCAGCGGCTGCAGCTGGTGGTAGGCCGCATGTGGATGTACATGCGGATGCGGATGCGGATGGGGATGTGTATGCGAATGTGTATGCGCATGTGGATGCGCGTGAGGATGCGCGTGATGCGGCATCGGTCGCGCTGCCGCCTGATAATAGCCGGGCATTGTCTGATAAGCATGTGCGGGCAACGGCAACGGCATCGTCACTGGCACCGGCACCGAACTCGCTGCCGCTGGCAGCTGCTGCACCGGCATCGGCACCGGCAACGGCACCGGCGGCGGCACCGCTGGACGCTGTTGTGCAGTCGGCAGGGGTGCGCGTTGTTGTTGTTGCTGTTGTTGTTGTTGTTGTTGTTGTTGTTGTTGTTGTTGTTGTAGTTGCTGTTGCTGCTGTTGTTGTTGCTCCGCTGGGTGGGTCACAACATGGCTGGGCCGGCATAGGCGCTCGTACACTTGGCCCGTTGCTGGCGCTGTTAATGTTGCTGTTGCGGATGTTGTTGTGGTTGCTGCGGCGGCTGCGGCGGCGGCGGCGGCGGCAGCGGCAACGGCTGCATTGCTCGAGGGCGTATCCAGCAAATGATGATGCCGATGATGATGATGGTGATGATGATGATGCGCCTGCGCTGTTGTCTGATCGTTGTTGCTGGTGCCATTGCTGCTGTTGTTGTTGCCAATGTTGCTGCCGTTATTGTTGTTGCTGCCGTTGCTGTTGTTGTTGTTGTTGTTACTGCTGCTGGCGTTGTTGCCTATGTTGACGCTGCCGTTGATGTTGGTGCTACCATTACCAGGCGTTGCCCTTACCAGCGGTATTGGCGGCGGCGGCGGCGGCGCCGTTTCAATGCTGCCGGCAACTGCAGCGACCCCACCAATTGTTGTTGCTGTTGTCGTTGTTGTCGTAGCCGCCGCAACCGCAGCTGCAGCCGCCGTTGCCGTCATCAGATTGCAGGAGTCAAGTCTTTGTCATTTGGAATTGCTTTGCAGCGCCGCATTGATCTGTGTCCAGAGCTCCTTTTTGCACGACTTTGAGCTGTAAACAGTAAATAAAACAATTATTAAGTGTAACTAACAAAACAACAACAAATTGTTGCACAGCTTGGCTTTGACCCTTAGCTATGTCTTCATCAGTCTATTATATTATTTCTCATTGTCTTAAAGTTCTAGTTATTTCTATTAGTTCTAGTTATTTGATAAGCTTCCCACTTTTACATCTATCTATCTTGTGCACGACCAGGATTAAATAACTTTGTAGATACATTTATCTCATTTATACATATATATACATATAAATCGTCGTTCGACCCAACCAACTTTGACATATGCCTGCAACAATGAAGAGTCTTTTCGTAGAAGCAAACAGACGGACGTGACTCTATAACGGCTCGGCTATTACTACGGATCTACGTATATATATATATATATATATATTTATATGTGTATATATGTATATATACAATGGTCTCGAAGTTGTCTTCTTCTATGTCTTACATTTCATGACAACATTTCGAATAGCCTCGACAATATATGTAAATTGGCTTATTATTTGAATTAACCTGCAACTCTAATGTGAATGCTTCCCAATTGGCTTCGATTAATATAAAGCCCAATAATGGCTAAAATGTATAAAACTATTGTTTGTTCCGCTCGAAACTCGGTCAAAAAAGTTTCAAAGTATTTCCGCCAAATACAAATACTGAAATTTTAATTAAAAATAGATCATGCTAAGGGTCCATGAATAATTAAAATCACAATTGGCTCGATTATAAATAAGTTTGAGAAATAAAACTTGTTAGAGATGAATGGATGGATGGATGGATGGATGGATGGATGGATGAATGGATGGTTAGTTGAATGGATAGATGGTGGGATGGGTGGTAGGTAGGAGGAAGAAGCGTCGCATTAATTCTTCTCACAATGGCTTGAAATGGTATATTTAAAATCTTTTTCTATTTTCTATGCTTGGGGGATTTTCTCGAAAGACTCTTCGAAATGTCTTGCTTAAGCTTCGTTTCCAGCTTTTGTTGCTCTTGGTGCTGCTATTTGGGCTTTTGTAAAGGTTTTCGCATATAAAAAGAAGACCATCGGGATCATCATATTGCCAGGGCAGCAGCTTATGCGGCCTATAGCCATTGGCTACAAATACTCTGTCAGTAATGCTAGGGTATCAGATGCGAAATTTAGATATGACCAATATGAATTATGATGTGCAGTGCTATGATGAACAACTACTGACCGCTTAATGGACTGCAGCCAGTCCTTGAACTGTGCACTGCCCTCCGGTGTGATTTGAAAAGCGGCGCGCGCGGCAACCACAATGCTGGCGAATTCCTCATAATCACCCTGGGTCAGATGATATAGCTTCTGATGGATGCACTGAATATACCTGCCAGAGATTAAAGATCGAGTGTCAAGAAGTGACATGTTAATGGGGCAAGTCGCATTCACTCACATTTGCTGGCACTTTTGCACGAGCGGCGTAAGGGCCGAGCGCAGATGCTGCATGACCAGCTGATGATTGTTCCTGCCCAGATAATGTGCCGACTCGATGGCCACATCGTGCAGCACAAACGGACTGACAATCGAATTGACCGCACAGATGCAGAACTGATGCAGATACTGTGTGCCCAGCTTCTTGCTAATCCGCAACAGCCATTTCACGTCCTCGCCATACGGCGGATTCCTAGCATACTTTGCCTGCGGACGATCGTCATGTACCCGTCGCGCCAGCGTCTCCATGGCCAGCATGCCAACGTTGTAGGCAGCCAGCAGATAGCGCATCTGTGTGGGTCTATAAAGGAGCGCAGAGATATATATAATTATGGTTAGAGTTCTGCCATGGCATTCGTAATCATCTGTTTCCCATTTGTGATACTTACGTGAACTGATGCTGTTGCCGCTGTCGCACCGGCGGCTGTGATGGTGGCTGTTGCTGTTGATGCTGCGGCGGTGGTGGTGGCGGCTGCTGCTGCTGCATAAACGGATACACGGGATGCTGGGCTGGATGCTGTACCGGATGCTGTGCTGGATGTTGGGCAGGATGCTGGACAGGATGCTGGCGCAGTGGTACGCCTACACCGCCACCAGGCGGTCCATTCGGCGGAGGGGGCGGTGGTGGTCCGTAATAGGCGGGCGCCATTGGACCCATTGGCGGTCCGGGTGGACCCGGCTGCAGCGTCTGATATGCCTGCGGTGGCAGCTGCTGAAAAGCGCCCGGTGGCGGCGCCTGGAACGCTGGTGGTGGCTGGTGACCCGGCGGCGCTGCATGCACCACAGACGTGGGCGGAGCCAGAGCCTGTTGCTGCTGCTGTTGTTGTTGTTGCTGCTGCTGCTGCTGCTGTGGATGCTGCTGCTGTTGAGTGGGTGGCGGCGGCGGCGGCTGCTGCTGCGAGTAGCCCGCGTAGAGCGGCTGCGGTGGCGGCGGCGGACCAGCTGATATATACATCTGCATTTGGCCAGGCGGATAGCTGAGATTATGATGATGCGCATAGATGCTCTGACAGAAAGTGTATGGTCCATAGGGCGCCAGGCCAATGGGCGCCAGTGTCGCTACGCCCGGCTGGAATGGCTGCGGTGCGGAGCTTACCACAGGTGGACCCGCCAATGGACCTGCACCGCCAGCAGCGGCGCTCATCATCTGCTGTTGCTGCTGCTGTTGTTGTTGCTGCTGTTGTTGTTGTTGTTGTTGTTGCTGCTGATGTTGCTGCTGCTGATGCTGCTGCTGATGCTGCTGATGTTGCTGCTGTTGATGTTGCTGCTGCTGCTGCTGTTGTTGCTGCTGCTGCTGCAGCTCATGCTGCTGCTGGGACTCAATTAGTGCACTCAAGCTAACAGCCGAATGCTCCAGCTGCTCCTCATGCTGCTCATGATCCGCGGCGCTGTTGTTGGGCGAATTGCGTGTGTAGAGCTCGTACCAGTAGCGCGCCACCTGGAAGAGCACCTCCGGATAGACGCCGCCACCCTTGGCGGCCGTTTCAACAGTGAGGCAAGCACGCTCCAGCATTAGGTCGCTTTGCTCCTTGCATTGCAATATGGCGCGCTGTATCTCATTGGGATTGAGTGCCGCCGCATGGGGCAGCACAGACAGCGCCAGCTCCGCGGCCGGATATACCATATTGTTGTCCCAGCCACGCGAGGCACGATCCGCCATGCCAGCTGCCTCCGGTGGTGTTAGGTGCGCCTCCCATGTATCTATTAGAAAACTAATCGCCGGCGCACCAATCTCCATGGCCTGGCCAAGTATCCAGGAGACGTGCGAGGAATATGTGCGCGACAACCAATTCGGACTGACGCAATTGTGCAGGCCGAGGGCATAGAGACCCAGCTGGAAGGCGCACATGTGCAGCGCACGATGCGGACCATGATGATTCTGGCTGGTGCTGGCCTGGGTGAACAGCGATGTTGAACTATTGCCGCCGGCCTTGGTTAGCACATTTTTGGCCAGCTCAAACATAAAGTGCGCGCTGGCCTCCGACGGCTGATTCGGTATGGAGGGATAGGCACGTTTGCCCTTGTAACGGCTCTCCTTGCTGCGGCTGCTGCTGCTGCTGGCATTGTTGTTGCTGTTGGTCGTGCTGTTGCTGTTGCCGTTGTTGTTGTTGTTGTTATTGTTGTTGTTCTGGGCAACAGCACCAGCAGCGGCACCAGGCGCAGCTGCTCCAGCTGGATTGGCATTGCTGCTGCTGCTGCTGCTACTGCCGCCAGGCTGGCCGCTGTTCTGGCAACCCACCATGCCCTGACTCTGGCCTGCTGCCTGGCTCTGTACCTGTCCCTGTCCATTGTTGTTGCTGCTGCACGATTGATTGCTGCTGCTGGCCATGCTCAGCGCACACATGCTCAACTCCAGCTCAGCGCTGGTTGAGCTATGCGGCCGACTGTTGCCGCCCACGCTGCCATAATCATTGGGTAGCAGTTCGCATAAATTGAAGGCAGCACCGCCTCCATTGCCACCTGCACCGACTGCCGCACCGGCGCTATAGTCATGCTCGTCGCGTCGCATGGGATGCTGGCTGGGCGTACGGACGGGAGGATGGCTGGAGTAGTAGGCGGGCAGCAGTGGCGTTTTAAGCAGCGTGTGTATATCCCGATCCAGTAGCTTCTCCATAATCTTGGCTATCTTGCGCGGCTCATCTTTGTAGTGATAGAGTAGCGTTAGGGCCAAGTCGCCGCGCTGGCGTCGCGTGCCCTCGCACAAGAGCGGATGTTCCGCTTCCGAGACATTGGCCTTTAGACCCAATGCCGCAACAGCTGCCTCAAAGCCCATGTTTTCCTCGCTGTGTTGCTTGTACAACGCCGGGTTTGGACGTCGTGCCAGGCCCACCATTTCACCAGCTGCGGCAGCCGCGGCTGCTGCTGCTGCTGCTGCAGCGGCTGCGGATGTGGCCGTTGCCAACTTGGCTGCGCCGGGCGTGACGAGCGCATCAAATATGAATGTGGCCAAATTGATGGGCAATAATGCTTCGCCGCGCGTCTTGAAGGTGCCATTGCGCAGCTGCTCGGCTCGTTCGCGTATTACCTGTAGCTCGGCGGCGCCCAGCGGCAGACGCTTGAGCAGCGCCAATATGTCCGCCTCCTGATTGGCCAGTTTCACCTCGAGCGGCTTGGTGCTGGCCGGCGGTCGCGGCATTTCCAGCGCAAACAAACATATGCGAAAGCCAATATGAAAATGCTCCGAATTCTCAGATAGCACAGTGCACAGAAATGCGCACTTGGAGAGCGTCGATGAAGCCACAACAGTCAACTGATGTGATATGGGATTTACATTCTGCTTTTTGCCTTTGCGCTTCGGTGCCGGCGGCAATTCCATGAGCAGATTGGGCGGATTGGCCAGCATTTGCTCAGCCAGACGCACTGCCAATATGCACGCCTCACGTCCATGTCCATGGGCATGCAGACCCTCAGCGCGCGCCAACAATATGTCCCAGGCATCCTCAGAGGGACGCACATTCGAGAAAATGTGCGGCTTCTCTCCTGTCAGCGCCACACGTGTCCCACTGCCACCGCTGCTGCAGGGCTGTTCCATCGCTGAGGGTGCTACAGCGGCGGCAACAGCGACTGGTGTTCCTGCTGTGGCTGTGACTGTGGCTATTGCTGCTGCTGCTGCAGCTGGAACAACTGTTGCTCCTGCTGACACTGCTGCGGGTGTCGGCTCTACTGTTGGCGTGTTGTGGCTGCTGTTAACGGCGACTGCCGCTGCTGCTGCTGCTGCTGCCAGGGCGGCTCGTGCTGCTGCTGAAGTGCTGGGCACGGGTGTCATATCGCTGCCAGGTGCTGCCGCTGATGCTGCTGCTGCTGCTGCTGCCGAAGTCACTGGCACGCCCACAACCTGAACAAATTCATCGCTGCTGCTGCTAAAGGATTCATCCTTGGACAGACGACGTGAGGCCTGCTGCTGCTGTTGTTGCTGCTGTTGTTGCTGTGAAGTGGCAGCTGTTTTCAGCATGGACGAGCTGGAGCTGTTGCTGCTACCCGAGGCGGTCGACGCTGATGAAGAAGCCGATGATGCGGATGAGGTGTCCGATGTGGAGCCCGCCTGTTGTCTGTAATCCGGTGTGCTAGGCACAACAACAGCAGCTGCTGCTGCGGCTGCTGCTGCCGTTACTGAGATGGGCATATCCTTGCTCTGCTGCGACATAGCGGAGACAGCTGAGACAGCATCAAAGCTGCTCTGCGAATCGGACTCGGTTAGCGATTTCTGTCCAACCACAGTGGCCGTACCACGCCCTGTGCAATAGTTGTGACTGCTGCTGTTGTCGCCGCCAAAGTCATCATTTTCGCAGAAGCCCTCGCTGCTGGCGCTGGAACGATTGCCATCGCCACCGGCACCGGATGCACCGGAGCCGGCCGCTGCGGCTGTTGCATTCGATTTGGGTGTAATGGCTGCGCCGGCCAGCTGATGCTGTTGTTGCTGCTGCTGTGGCTGCACTGGATTGGCGCCCATTGCCATTGCGTCGCGGTCAACGCCCATGCCGCAGGCGGCATTCACTCTGGCCAGTAGCAGAACAGCGTTTATGGACGGCGGGTCGTTGGGCGAGCCAAACAGCTCGGCGCCGCTAGCATCAAAACGTTCGCGATAACCGCCGCGTTCTGGACGGTGCTTGAAGACGCTCGCGTGCATGCCATGATCGTTGGAGGTGCTAAAATAGTTGTAGTGCTTGTTGTTGCTCATCAGGGCCTGGGTGGCGTTCAGCTGGCTGGTAGCGTTGGGGCCGCAGGTATCGCCCTTGCCATCTGTGTGCTTGAAACATGTGAAGGGTGAGTAGTAAATGGGATTTGTGTCGTGGGTGTGCGTTACGCCCGCAATGGGATAGTCTTCCCAATCCAAATAGCATGCCTCAATGGCCGGCTTGAAGCCAATGAATAGCTCCGTTTCGGATCTTGAATTCTGTTGATGTTTGTTCGTATACGATGGTGGCATCATGCGACTCTTCACCACACGATCGAGTATCTTTAGATGCCAGGACGTAAACTGAGCGTGCAGCATGTCGCGCTCATCGGGCGCCAGGCCAGGATTCAGTGCAGCCAGGCGCCATAGGGCAACAATCTCATCGCAAAGTGAACTACATGCATGCTGCAGCGCTGTGGAATTCGAGTGTGTATTGGAGTGCTTGCCACCGCTGTGTCCATGGGAGCCCATCATAAGTGCTAGCTTGGTCTGGAACCACCATATCAGCATCTGATCACAGGCCATGCATTCCTCCGTTATGATCTCAAGCAGGCGCACCGCATTTCGATCGCAGCGTCTGTACATCTCGCGAACTATCGATAACAGATTCCACATGCCCTCCGGTTCGCGCCCACGCAATGGACGCAGCAGTGAAGTCCATTCAGCGGCCGCTGGGGGCGCCGAATTGGTCAAATAGTTGACATCGCTGTAATACACAAAAAAACTGTGTGTTAACTGGACGGATTATGTTCCACACATATGGGCATTTCCTTACAAGGATTGACCATAAATAAAATTAAAAAAAAAAAACCAACTACGGGAAATAGGCACGTCGACATACCTGAAAACAATCGGCGCCGGAAGTATGAATTTGATGAGTATGCGCTTGATATTGTTGTGAAGCGTCTTCTCGTCTAGATACCAGCTAGTCTGATCATTAATTGATGCGCCCGCCGTTGGATCGGGTGCACCACATACCGTATTGATAGCCGTAGGCTGGGCGCTAAGCAACTCGTCCAGCAGGCGCTGAGCCGTCGGCAAAATTTGTTGCGGCAGCTCACTGATCAGATATTGGGCAAACTTTTGCAACTGATCGCGCTGAAGACGTGTGAGTGACTCGGAAACAGGTGCACGCAGGCAAACCTCCAGAGGCTGTGCATGAAACAGAGTAAGAGAGAAAGAAAAAGAGAGAGAGAGAGAGAGAGAGCAAGAGAATGAGTAAGAGGTTTGGGAATATGCAAAGAGGGGTAGGACATACACAATGAATGCGATGCAGGCAAACGGCAACCACATGAGAGCACCAGTAAGCGGAGGAGGTACAAGTGCAGTTGCATGAGGAGATCCGGCGACGATCGAATGTGACAGCTACATTGAAGAAGGTGCGCGGCGTTTGGCTCACAACGCTAGCAGAGAGATGAAACCCTGCAAGTTAAAAAAAAAGAGGTTAATCACATAAACGTATATGAAGTCCTGGCTTTACTGGACTTACCAATCTGCAATGGATCCTTTACGGCGCGCATACGAAACAATTGATCGCCGCGATGAAACTCATCTGCCGAACTGTTGGCCAGACAAGAGTACAACCGTATATCCTCCTCGTTGTCCGGAAAACTCCAGAAAGCGATTCGCAGCTGCAACTGCTCCGGCACGGGCGGATAAACATGTTCCACCAGCTCGAATGGTATATACGAGGCGACACATCGCGCTGCCAACTCGGCAAGTGACGAGACCTCTGCAAGTAAAAGATTTCAAGTGTCAAGCATTAGTTATCAATTATGTATATTAACGCCGATACACACGGAATACTAATTTAAAAACGAATTCGCAACAACTTAGGGTGGAAAGCCTCAAGTGCTGCCGATTCTTGGGATTCTTAGAAATAGTTCCAGGAATATTTAATACATTTACAAATACACGCACAAGCACACAAATAAATCAAACGCTGTCCCAGACGATTCGAGCAATGACCAACTAAGCAGAAGAAGCAGCGAGTCAGTCGCTGCAGAGGTCAATGGCGTTCCATCTGTTGTTGCCGTTGAAAAAGTTGAATTCAATGTTTGTTGCATGCCACTCATACATACATACGTACGTACGTACGTACATACGTACGTGCAAAGCGCAAAGCAATTGACTTGTAGATAAACAAAATTCTACAAATTGTCATGCAAATAAACAAATGAACCGACAGACAACACATCAACAATACAAGCAATACATGTAAGCAAAAAAACAATAAAGAAGAGAAAAGAGAAGGAAAAATTTATAAAGGTCGTGTCCATCCGCTTTGGAGCGCAAAACAAAGAAGCAGAAACAATAAAGAGTTGAGTTTATTTTTGTTTCGCCTTTTTTTTCTGCTTTTAACACGAGAAACTGGCGCAGCATTAACAACAACAACAACAACAGCAGCAACATTGGGCGCACACCCGACAAGAAAACAGAGTTCAAGTTCGCCCACATATGTGTTTACAAACATATTAAAATACATATCAAACGTGCATATGTAGTTAATCAGCAGTCTTTAACATTTTAATGGGAACCTGTTTCGTTTTCACTATCGTATTGGGTCTTGGCTAATGTATTAGGTTTTTAAGCTTAAATACGTTCCTATTATCGATATCGATTTTGTAAGTTTTTGTCGGTTGGCATTACGCGCACACACACACACACACACACACGCAAGCTTGGCCAGCGCATCGTTTGTTTGTTTTCATTCTTTCGCTTGTTCGCTGTCGCTTAATTTCAGACACTCTGGCACCATTTTATTCAAAGTCATTTTCCAACACAAGCGTCAAGAGTTATTATTCATGCCTATTCCTTCTTTATTCGCATTCCATTTTCGGACTGTGCGCAAGCAGGCAGGCAAGCCTTTGGAACCAGGCAAAAGTAAGGAGTAACAGCAACAACTACAAAATGCATTTGTCTCTGTTGCAAATCGAGTGGCGCTATGTTATTGTTTTTACTGCTGTTGTCAGTGTTGTCCCTTCAACAAAAAAAAAAAAAAAAAAAGAAAAAACCCAGCTAAAAGAGGTCAAATTTATATATGACACATGCGTACAGACATAAGTTTGCACATGTGTTATTTGCCCGCGGTTCCGGAAGTGCATGAAAACTGATATGCCTGCAAACGGCACAAACACAAATGCAATGTTCTGCGCGTGTGTGTGTCTTTTGCTGCATTCGCTTTGTCAGCAAATTTTCAAAAACGCCACTACACTAATTAGATGACATGTGGCAACGTCAGGCGTATACTATATACATAAGCACATACATATACATACATGGATGCATGTACATATGGATGGGCACAAAGTTGCACTGGCAACGATAGTTTTACCAAAGTTATCAACGGTCCTTACAATTCTTGTCGGCCTTGCCAAAGCAGGTGCTGATACCTGTGGTTGCCGTACATACAGAAATATGAATGTACAAATGAATATAGGTATGTACATCAATGCATGTATACATATGGACGTAAACTCATACACACTTATTTGGGCATTATCCTTGAAAAGGTTCCTTGACACAAACGACAGCTAAAGCAACGAAGCGGCAAAAGACAGCAGAACGACGTCACATTGACTTTTTGCGGTTATTATTTTGTTTTTTTTTTTTTTTTTTTCAAACCGAGACAGACACAAAAACACAGGTACACACATGCATACAAATGTTACACTCATAAGTACACACACAGACACACACACACACATACATACATACAGCATAAAAATGCAGCTGGCAGCTCTCGCTCACCTAGTAAGATGCCTGGCCCCCAATAACAAAACAAAAATCAAAAAAAAAATACAGCGACAACAACAACAGCAAAAAACTAGCGTACAAACAGAAAAGGCAACAACAATAACAAAACAAAGAGCAATGAAAAGCAACGGCAGCGCAGTCGCAGCGCTGCTGAGATTACATGTTGATAATGGTGCGGCGGCGCACAGGACCCGAACGGACCAAAGCCAATGAACAACGCATACAACACACACATACAAAACGACGTGACGTGCAGATGAGGAACAGACAGAATAAGGTAACGCAAGGTAAACGGACAATCGCAGCAAAATGTAACCAGCAAAGTCGTGATTTTGACTTTAGCGATAAGCAGGAGGCGCAGGCAGAAATAGTTGTTGCATTGTCGCTGTGTTTTTGCTGCTGTAGCTGCAATTTTAAGCCAATCTTTACATGAACACGTACACATATACATATGTAGATGTGTGTGTGTGTGTGTGGTGTATAAAATGCATACATACACTTGTACATAGCTATATGGGCATACGGATTTGGGGCATGCATTGAAAAGGTAATGCGTGTAATTTGGTCGTATGTATGTAATAACCGTAGTTGCCAGATCGCTTTAAACGCGAGCCTTGCCCAATCTGATAAGAACTGCAACATATTTCTTCTTTAGTTGTCAACTTTTTTCTTTTCGTAAGTAAGCAAACATTTCATATACAAATTAAGCACTATTTTCCGAATGTAAGCTTTAAAGTATATGTATATAGATGTCCAATCCTGTTTATATTTCGCTCGTTTCTGAGGAGAGCACAAAACAGTTCGTAATTGGCGAGTTTTCACCAATTGATATAGGTTTTTCTATACTTGTAAATTGGCGGAATAATCAAAATATTGAAAACCCAAATAGTCGTTCATTAAATGGATACTCCATGAGGATCCATGCGAAGTTTCAACATATGAACGGAAAGCTATGAGTACATGGACTTGATTGGGTCTAAGATGCCACAGTTCAATGGAGGATTGGTATTGAGATTCTGGTTAGGGCATGGGGAATATAGCTGTAGTCAACTTACCGAAATGGCGTCCACAATGGACACCGGCTGCCATTGCGGCAGAGTTGGCGATGCCGTTGCTGCCCGCACCGGGTGGACCACAGCCAGCCGCACCGAATGTGGCGCCGCCGTTGCTGTTGTTGGTGGCGCTGGCAACGGGGCCGATTCCATTCCCATTGCCAGCACTTGTGCCGGAGCCGTTGGTGGTGGGCTTTTTCCAGCCCCGCCAATTGTTGCACAACGATTCCGCCTCAGAGCTCCAGCTGCAGAGTGAATCCTCTTCGAAGCGTATGGAATCGTCGAAACTGAATCGATCCATTTCTTCCGGATTCCACTCGTTGCCGCCACCGCCGGCGGCGGCGTTTGCATCGGCGCCAGCGCCTCCAGCAGCAGATCCACCGGCGGCAGCTGCATTATTGTTATTATTGTTGTTATTACGGCCCGCGGCGGCTACAGCGGCAGCGCCAGCGCCAGCTGCGCCGCCAGCAGCGGCATCGGCTCTATTGTTGTTGCTCCCGTTGCGATTCGCCAGGTTGAAGCTGAACTGTAAGCAGTGCGCGAGCTTATGATTGATTCAGCTGCTGCTGCTGCTGCTGCTGCTGCTGCTGCTGAGGGGTCTTTCGCGTGCTCTGTTGCTTTTGGATGGATATTTGCTGCTGATATTTGTTGTTCTTGTTGTTGCTGTTGTTGCTATTGTTGTTGGTATTTTCCGTTCCGTTTTCAAGTTCCTTTGTAAAGTGCAATTTGGATAATTTACGCTCAATTTGTTTCGTGTAAAAGGCGAAATGTTGAGCGGGTTTTTGTTATTTTATTTTATTTTTTTAATTTTTCCTGTTGTCAAGTGCTGCTTAATGCTTTCAAATTTATTTCAAAACTATTTATTTACAGATACATACTTATGTATACACATATGTATGTGTGTGCTTGTATGGACTTGTGCAGCGTCGCCTTCTACTTTTGCTCTAATTCTTTCTCTTTCTCCTGCTCTCTTGTTGTCGTCGTTGTTGTTTTTGTTGTTGTTGTTGTTGTTTTTGTTGTCAAATTGTGTGTTTGTTTATGGGGATGGGAGCGTGATTTCAGAACAGCTACATACACGATAAACGGGCTAAAAGCATATTTTATTTTTGAAATTAACTTTTGTAAACTAATATTTGTTTCAATACACAGTTAGCTGTTACACACATTATTTACAGAAAAAATAATATTTGTTGCGTGCGTGCGCGTTGATATTACTGTATTTTGTGTGCCGCAAGCACGGGCGCTTCGTGTCACGACAAGCACTTATCTCTAACTGAGTGTTCACTGCATACGCATAAGCTTCCAAATGACCGAGCGATTGTTATCGAGCCGTGTGGCGGGGGACGCCCGAAAGTAACAACAAAAATAATTTAAAAAAAAAAATAAGAAGAAAACTTTAATAAAAGACACCAAGACGAAGCGTAAGAAGAAACAGATGCGAGCAAACGAATTGAACGCGCTGCGTTGTTGCGACTGCGACGGCTGCCTATTGTTTATTGTCGTTGTTGTGTTTCATGCTATTTTTCACGGCTATGTGAATTTGTACCCCCCACAGCAGCAGTAGCATAAGCAGCAGCAGCGATTCAGAGAGTGAGAGAGTCGCTGGGGGAGCAGTGACTGCGATTGTGTGTTGGTATATGTGTGTGACTGCCAAAATAGAGAACGCCAAAATGGCCAATTGTTGTTGGTCACACAGTTTTATATATACATACATACATACGTTGGTATGTATGCATGTGTATGTGTGTCGTTGCTGTTTTCGCTGCACCAGGACCAGCTGCTCTGTAGTTGCTGCTGCTGCTGCTGCTGCTGCTGCCGTCACTGTTGTCGTGTCGTGCGCGCGTCCCTTTAGCAACCTTTAATTATTTTTCACTTTTATGCTTTCTGCTCATCTTTGCTCGCTCCTTTTATCCTTCTTTATGCCTTGTCGCGAAACCTGCGCGCGAGCTCGCACTCTTTCTCTCTTTATCACACACGTACCCGCTCTGGCCTGTTCAGGCAGACTGAAACACTGAACAAACGCACGCTCACACATAGATACATATATACACTAATGCACCGCTCCCGCACACACATACACACACACACCTATATATATACACACATACACATGCATACACAACAACAACAGCAACAGCACAACATCAATATATTGATATACATATATCAATGCCTGTATGTGTGGTCAAATGTGTATGTGTTAGTGTGTGTTTGTGCACGAAATGCTTTAAAGAAAACGTTGAAAAAACCTTTTTGTTTGCCCGTTTCGAAAGAATTTTGCTTTGTCACACTACTTATGCACTCCAATTAATAGTTCTAAATCGATGCAGAATTTAGTTATGGTTTTGGTATGCATGAACTGCATTTTTACACAGTTTTTGTGAATTTATACGGGAATTTGTTTTTATCCATCACAAAAATCGCGTTCGCGTTCCTACTAGGAACTAGTGATGTAAAAAAAATCATCGACAAACTTTTCTAAGCGATTTATATCGAAACTTATCGACCTAATATCGATTTCAAATAAACAATGGGCGCGTATTAAAACGAGCACAATCAATATTTTACACATTTAAAAATTGGCTTAATAGAGATAAAAATGTTGTAGGTTGTATTTGGGTAATCAAGCATAAATGAGATTATAATGGATTTACATATGTCTTTGACAATTTATTTTCATTAAATAGTAATAAGTTTAAATAATTTTCTTAATTGAAGGGATTAACAGCTTATAATGAATGCTAATGCCGTTCTACGTGCACAGTTACATAAATAAACTTATCGATAACATGCATATAAAAGTACCAACATTATTAATAGTGGTGAACATTCTCACACACAATCATAACTATTCGCTATGTAGGCATACAAAAGCTAATTGATATAAGATTTTACAATCGTACACCGCTATGATTAAAATTTGTAATTTAGTAAAACTATATTTAATAAGCAGATTAGCCGGCGATCGCTGCAATTAGATGACACCAAGCACTCTATATTTCTTTAAGGGCGTCCAGTATGCGATTGCAGTCCTCATCATTACGCAGTCCCAATCGTTTGAGATCTTTGTGCTCCATCGAAACCAATTCAACCAGATCAACGTGCGCTTTTTCGAACTTATCAAGATAGCTTTCTAGACCCACAAGGAGCAGCACATCATGTACATTGCTCGCATGATTGATGACATACGAGTGATTTGCCGCAAGCAGCGAGCGACGCCGTGATTCCTTGCACAATGAATTTTCCGCACTGTTGCCGCTGCCCGAATCATCCATGAACTCATCCAAGCTGTTGTTGCGATCCTCAAGTTTCCGGCCAGGAGGCTTCAAGCTGGGCTTCGAGAGTTGTTGTTTTTTAAATGCCTTTTTAAAGAACGTTGACGAGGTGGTCCTTCTTGGTGCTCGCATATCCCTAATGGGCGACATATTTGGCGAACGCAAGTCACCAAAAATGGGTGTGGAGCAGCGTATATTTTGAGCATTTTTATTGATCACCGACAGTATGGGCGTACGATTATAGCTGAATAGATGCTGACCCGTTGGCGTGCGACATTCCTCCATATTAAAAAATGTAATATTCAAAAAACTATTAATATAGATATGGAACACAAAACGTAAATGCTAGTCAAGCTTAGATTAAGCAATGGCGCCTGCGGGAAATCTGCCGTTATACGCGCTGGAAAAGCGAAGAGTTGCATTTATGTTGTGTACTATAATGGTTGCAACTGGCGTCACAAATAAGAATATGTATTTAAGGCTAAATGGACAAACACATTATAATATAATGTTTCAATATTGGTGCGCTTTTACTAAAAAGATCAATTTATTTATTTTATTTTTAAGCAGCTGCAGCAGAGGGATGCCACCTTTCAAATTCCGTTCAAATTCCTTTGGCTCTTGTTAACAGTCGTGCTGTGTATCGAACAACAACTAATCGATATCAGCTCTTAAAGCTCTTATACACAGCTCTAACACACAGTGTGCCTAAAGCGCTTTTAAATTGTCATTATTGTTGTTATTCTTTCGTGAGTGTGAAAGTGACAGCCAATCGTTGAATTGCTTAGCTAGCATAACGAATTCGATAGTCGAGTAAATGTTAGCCTTCGATAAGAAAAGTAATATCGATAGATTGAATCACGCTAGCGCAGCGTCAAACAAAACAACTCGCCTTCACTTTTTGTATTGCCTTGCTTGAAATTGTCAACCGAAAGAGGCTGCCGCCAAAGATGCCGCTCCAGGCCGTTTGCATTGAGTTGCGCCCAAATTTGAGCAGCGGCCATGTTTTTTTGCAATTTGATCAAGAAATACGCGATCGCCAAAAGACGCGCCTAATCATCAAGGAGCACGACGTGCACATCGTCGAAAATGGCACAGACAGCACTGAAAGTGAGCTGGTGCTGCGTCACGACAGCTTCGGCATGGACATACAACGCATTTCGGTCTTCATTGTCAATGGCTGTCACATAAGCTTCCGATTCAACTACACGACCATCGATCTCGAGGCGCTGGAAAATTGCGTCGGTCTTCCAATGGCGCCACAGCCGCTGCTGCTCAGCTTTGCGGAGCGCACTCAGACCGTGTCGCTGCACTGCAGCAATTGTCACAACCAGCTGGTGCCCGGCTGCAGCTACAGTCGCCTGCGCGAGTTCCCCAGCGGAATCATCGATCCCAGTGAGTTCTTTTGCCACAATCACGGCACAGTGACCAAGCCGGCCACACTGGTGCCCCGTCGCGATGATCTCTATTACGGGCTCAATCACGTTGTACTCAACATGACCGCTGTGGAAGCTCAGGTCATTAACCGCTCGGAGCATCTCTATTGCAAGCGCTGCATGTGGATGTTGGGCTTGACCATAGAATCGGGCTCTGCCGCCAAGCTCTGGGCAGATGCATTGCGCTGGCTGCCGTCTGCGGTCAAGACCGAGGATGCAACACAGCAGGAGCCGCGCCAGCTTTTTAAGTACTCGACCGTGACGCAGCTATTGTTGCGTCTGCTGAACGACCTGTGGCCCACATTCTGTCCTGGCAACAGTCGCGCCCTGCTGGTAGCCAACATGCCCGATCGGCATCAGCACTATATGCTTATCCAAGTGCTCGATCCGCAGCTGTCCGTGCTGCGCCGCACAGGCAGCGAGACGCCAAAGTGTACCGATCCACAACAGTTGCAGCATTCGCGCGCCTGCAAGCTATACTTTCGAGTGTTTGGTAGCTGTCAACAGGATCCGACGACACTGATACAGTGGCAGGAGCAGATGCAGGTGCCCAAAATGACCATATCGCCGTATATGTTCCTGGAGCTGCAAGCACGCCTTAATTGCAACTCAATGCTCATACCGCATGCCTGGCGCTACAATACAGCCGAGGAGAAGCTGCTGCTCACCTACTTTTTCTACGAGAACGAACACCAGGAGCTGCTGAACCAGCAAAAGAAGAAGGAGGGCCGTGTCAATGTTAGTATCACCAAATAAGCATGCCCTCCATGCACTTTGCTTAATATGATGCCTTTCTCTTTTAATATGCAGACTGTGCAGACAAGCCAAAAACCTACGCAGCAGCCGCAAGAGCAGAAGAAGCAACAGCAGGAGCTGCAGCAGAAGAAGCAACAGCAGGAGCTGCAGCAGAAGAAACAGGATGACTATGAGACTGATGCCGGTCTGGATGCCAGTTTGGATGAGGCGGATGAAAGCGATGACGAGCGCTCGGACTCGGACAGCGAACTGACCTCATCATTGCTCAACAAATCCGTACCAATTATGGCCTACGAGCAGAACCTGGTCAAGCGCTGGCCGCTGCAGAAGAAGCGCAAGCAACCGCAGCCACCAAATGCAAATCCAGATACCAGCGACTAGAAACTGGGCGTGGCTCAGGTGTTCTACAATGTTTTTTTTTTTTTGTTTGTCCAGGATTTCTTGCGTATGAAATGAAAATGAATCAAATGTTTGTTTATTAATTTTGTATGTTTTGTTTTTTGAATATGTAATTTTATTCAATTAATTTAATTTGATTAATATTTAGCAAGAAGTATTAAGTATAAGACATACTTATATATACACATATATATATTTTATAGATTCGTATATGTATATATATGAACCAAATGCGAAGACAAGCTTTGCAAATTTGTGATTGAAAATCTCGACTACGTTTAATTATTTTGTGATTTAGGGCAACGCATGTGTTCAGGTATATATAAGTATATATATATATTTGGAGCAATCAGAGAACTGAATAAAAACAAATGCTTTCTATAAGTTACCCAATCCCCAACAACAACAAAAACGATATCGTCTCTCACTTGGTTATGCGACGCATTTGCTTCGTCTGCTCGCTCATGGCCAGCTGCGCATTGTCCGCCTTGTTGATCATGGCGTCCAGTTTGTCCAGCTGCCCGTCCATCATGACACGCTTGGCCGCCTTGGCCGCGGCTACCTCTGCCGCTGTGGGCGGTGGCCTTGGCTTTGGTTGCCGCTGCACTGGCTGCTCAGCTGGCACCTCAATGCCGCCGCCGCTGGCACTGCTGGGCACGTCCATGGATGCACTGGCAGTGCCACTGAAGCTGCCGCCGCGCGTGAAAATGTTTGTCAGACTGCCGCATGCGCTCTGCTTGAAACGATTCAAACGCTGCTGCGTGCTAGACAATATGCTATTTAGCTCATCCAGTTTACCGCTGGCGCCGTGCAGCGATTCCTCCTGCTGCACCAGCAACTGTAATTGGAGCAGGTTAAGAATGAGTTTCTTTGAAATGCGCCCAGCGATACTCTTCCTGAATATGATAATTAAAAATCAGAAAACTTACAGCTGCCTCGGCAGCCTCCTCTTCAGCCAATTGCTGTTCCAGGCGTTCCTTGCGCTGACGCTCAAATTCCTCTCTATCCGGCGGCTGCACACCAAGCAGCTCGGCTCGCTGGCACTCCTGCTCATAGCTGCTGTTCGGCTCCGCCATGATTTAGGCTTGGGCTTTCTATCTGCGACTAATCAACATCAAATACACACATCGATTTTTGAGATGTGCAAGAGAAGAATGTGAATGGTAATGAATGAATGCTTAGAACCAACAACTGGGCCATGACGCATGCGCCTGCTGGGCACTGGGCATGACAATGGACATAAACACACAGCTGACATGAGACACACACATTTTAATATTTAAGCCTGCATACAATTATTTGTATATGTACAATTAACTCTAGGGCTCGCCGCTGCGCTCATAGATTTGTATGTAGGATTCGGTCAGTGTGATCATTTGTGGCAGTATTTCGGTGACATGCAGATCCTGCATCTCATACCACTGCCCGTTGGCCTTGTGGAGTATGTGCACGCGATAGGTGCCCTTCTTGGGATCGCCGTCGTGCACAATATTCGCAACCAGATTGTATTTGGTCTCCTTGAGTGCCTTGTCGCGCTGCTTCATGCCCAGAATGTCGCCAAAGTCCACATTTCTGCAAGAAATCATATATGATATAAAAAACGAAAAAGAAAAAACAATGTCAACTGATTGCGCTCGTGCTCACTTGATGGGAAAGTTAACAATGGTGGGATTCTTTTCAAGAAAGAATGTGTTCTTAGTAAATCGCTTAATGTACAATATTATGAATTGGGGCAGTCGTGTTATCTCGAAGCGCTTCATAAAGTTATCCTTGTACGTTTTGTATTCCTTCTCGGCGCTGCCATTGAATTTGCCCAGCAGCTGATACAAATTCACCTGCGGTATGATATTCTCCCGAAACTCATCCGTGAATAGCGGCGGCGGCGGCAGATCGCAGGTCAGATATATGAAGTTCGTGTGCTCCACCTGATGCTTGTACTCATCGGTGGCGAGCAGCTGCTGCTTGGCGGAATCGTCCAGCTCAACGGGCGGAATTTTGCGGGTATAGATCTTCATTTCACCTAAGAATATCTTGTACAATATGGACGAGTTTGGCTGTTTGTTGCCTTTAAGGGCGCGATGCAGCGTGTTCAGGAACCAGGAAAGAAAATCAATGGGATCACCCTGTTCGGTGATTTGAAAACGTTTGCTGGACCACAGCACAACCGCCTGCAGCATCTCGTGCGGCGAGACATGCGCCTTAAAGTTGCGCGGATTCCACATTTTGCGCATCAGTTCGCCGAATCGCTGGACCAGCGTGAACATTGAATCACCCGGCGGCCGTTTGATCGTCGCATAGTTTTGCTCACGCAAAAAGTAATCCCGCAATGGACCCACATGCGACAGGGCATGCAGCACCACATTGCAATAGTCGTTCGCCTTGATATTGTTGAGGCCAACCACACCAGGCAGGTACAGAATGCCGTCAACGGTGCGCGAATGCTTCGGTTTTACCTTATCCAGTTTGCTGATCTCGTTGCGCAAAAATGTCGGATTCAGCACGTACTTAATGTCATCCAGCGAGCTATCGATGATCTCATAGTTGTCCGGCAGGCAGTAAAAGCGAAGCGTATGCAGATTAAGGAACACATGATGCGCCTCACCCACTGAGTGTGTGTAGGCGTGCGTGTTGGTGCCACGCCCCTGGAAATACTTGCCGCACACGAGGCAGGCGTAAACGTTTATTCGCGTCAGCGATATGGAGCACAGCTTCTCAAAATCGAAGTCCAGCAGATTACGATTGATTGTGTCCAGATAGGGGCAGACGCGATACTTGGGATTGAACACCGAAGGCGTCTCTGCATTCAATTGAAATGTTTACATTTAAATGTCTCACATAAAACTTAATTCTTATTTGCCTACCATCGTCTTCCAGTACGGGTTTCTGCTTCGTCTCCAGTTTGGCGCGCTTTGCTGCTGGTAAAGAATAGAAGCGGTTACCGGCTATGGGCATATTCATAGCTTATGCTGTGACAATTACCTACGGGTTCCGTTTGCGCCATTTGCAGGGATATTATTTTTGACTAATGTTTACGTTTTGTCTGAAACTACAATGTCCATAAATTGTGTTTTTGCCGGCGCTTGTTTCAGTTAGAGATGTAACAGTATATCGATGATACGATATTTAAGTGATATCGATAGTTGCATTTTAAATATGTGCAGCACACTTTTTAGAGTCAACAAAATTATTTTAAAATTATGCAAGAAGGCAGCTTCGACTTGAGCTTGTAAGCCAACAGCAAGCTTAATTCAAATATTTATTGTAAGTGATTAATATTATTAAATCAAATGCGTCTCGGTTGATGATGCTTGCGCTTAATTCTGTACGTAGGACAAGTCACAAATTACAAAAATACACACAAATTCAAGCTAGATACGCTACAAGCTACAAACTTAAGCTTGCTGCAGCAAATTACAAAAGTTAATATGCATTAAGTCCACATATGGCAAGCTAATGGACTAGGCATGACTGAACTAGATTTTAAGATAGATCACACAAATTCAGCATCTACAGTGTTTGCTACTTATTGTCGTCAGTAAAAGCTACTTATCAGTAAAGCAGCGCACAGTAGAGCAAAATATTATAGCATGACATTGAATGCCCTACTGATCTGCCAGCACTAAGGGACAGTTCTCAAAATGGGTGTGCGTGACAGAGAAAGAGAGAGAGAGAGAGAGAGAGATCAGATGCAAACACTGTAGAGCAGCATTCCGGGAGCAGTCGCTGCGGACCAGCTAGCTTAGCAAGCACGAAAAACTTTCCGCTTAAGAAGGCAAACAAAAAATAAAGAAAAAGCAGATAGCAATGTGGAGCGATGTTAAAAACAAGGTGATACTGGTGACCGGCGCCGGTGCTGGCATTGGCAATGCTCTGGTCAAGCAGTTGGCCAGCGCGGGCGCCACTGTCATCGCGGTGGCACGCAGCGAGGCGCAGCTAAAGGATTTGGTTGCTTCTGATGCGAAACATATCAAGCCATTGCTTCTGGATTTGTCCAATTGGGATAAGGTGCGCGAGGGTCTGGCCGCAGTACCACAGCTCGATGGGCTGGTGAACAATGCGGGCGTGGCCATTATCAAACCATTTGAAGAGCTGACCGAACAGGATTTCGATACGTATGTATTTGTTTTGCTTTAGCTCAAACTGCCATTGATACTATTATATGCCCATTCACAGTCACTTTAATGTGAACATTAAGGCCGTCTTCAATGTGACACAGGCGCTGCTGCCCAAGCTGCGCAATGGCAGCTCCATTGTAAATGTGTCTTCCATAGCCGCATCCCGCAGCTTTGCTGGCCACACGGCGTACAGTGCAACAAAAGCGGCGGTGGATTCGCTGACTAAATCGTTGGCATTGGAGCTGGGCGTTCGCCAAATACGCGTCAATTCTGTAAATCCGACCGTGGTTCTGACCAAAATGGGCCGTGACAATTGGACAGATCCGGCCAAAAGTGGGCCACTCTTGGCGCACATACCCTTAAATCGTTTCTGTGAGGTGCACGAGGTGGTCGATGCCATTGGCTATCTGCTCAGCCAAAAGTCCAGCTTCGTCAATGGCCATCACATCAATCTCGAGGGCGGCTATGCCGTCTCCTAAACATACATACATATGCATTATTGATACCAATAATATGAAGCGCACTCAATAAAGGCTTATAGATGTATTACATTTTGTATTTATAATTGCTTGTAGTTAGGCTAGGTAAGCTTTGTATATTCTTAAATGGCTTGCAACTCCCATTGAGGGCCATCAAATGCTGCATAGCTCTTACTTTCAAGCTACAAACTAGCGAGAGAAAGAGACAGAGCGGGAGAGTGGGAACAAAAAAAAAAAAAAAAAATAAGGAAAGAAAGGAAAGTTAGTGGGAAAATTTAACGAACGACTTAAATTGATAGGAAATTTACAATTTTTGAATTTCTATAGCATATATATACATAAGTTGTGTATGTATATGTATTGCATTTTGGATTGCTTATGCGCAAACTTTGCCCTGCTGCTGGCTCTGCATTTGCTGCTGCTGCTTCTTCTCGCGCTCGCGTCGTCGTAGCTTCTTGCGCCGCCGATCGATGACCGCCAGCTCGCCCTTGATGCTGTTGTAGGCCTTGCGCAAATCCTGAATCTGTTTGCGCAGTATCAGTATGCACTGCTCCGCGCTGAGCGAGGGATCTGCAGTACGATTTTTAAATATTAATATAACTCTATTAGGATCATTCTTTCTAGCTGCGGACTTACCCAATTCAACAAGGAAATTGTATGGACATGGTCGTACGCCTGATGCATTGGCTAATGATTGTATTGGTTGTTGGTGCAGTTGTTGTTGTTGTTGCTGCTGCTGCTGCTGTTGTTGTTGCTGCTGATGCTGTTGTTGTTGTTGTTGTTGTTGCTGCAGCTGTTGCTGACCTTGCGGCAATAGGTGCTGGCGTGTGCTATGGCGCTGCGTTGTGACAACATTCTCGGAAGTGTCATCGGTATCGGAGCCGGCTGAGCAGACCAGAGAAAATATGGGAATATATATATTAATATAAATAAATAATTGTATTATTATTATAATCTTGGTACTTGCCTGTTGTTGTTGTTGTCGTCTTTCGCATGCTGTTCATCTGCTGCCTGCGACGCTTGCCCAGGACGTGCAGCTCGGCAGCGGTGGCAGCTGTCATATGCACCGCAGACTGTAGATTAACATCGCTGGCCTTGGCGCGCCTTTTGCGCCTGCCGCTGAGCACGTTGCTCTCGAGTTCCGCATACTTTTTGGCCGCACTGTGCAGACTGCTGCTGCCGGTCTCCTCGCTGCTGTCATCCTGGCTGGCCGGCGATTCCGGTGAGCTGTTGGGCGATACCGAAGCCGCCGGTGCTGGCTGGCCAACAAGCGTCGCTGTTGTGACACGCGGCGGTGGTGTATCCGGTGGTAATGGTGTTATGCCCGGTATGGTCAGCGTGGAGCTGCAACTGGATGCGTTTGTGGCAACTACGGCAGTGACGGACGTTCCTGTTGCTGGGGCCATGGAACTGCCCGTGATGGTGGTCGGTTCGTCTTTGCTGGTATAGTTTGGTGCCGGACTACCCGGTATAGTCTCCTCGCAGAGCAGATTAATGGCCGCCTCACTGTGGGTGGCCTCACTGATCAGTGGACTGCCAGCCGCAGGCGAGACATGCATGGGTTGTTCCTTCGCCTGCTGCAAGACAAATGGACGCGGCAATGGCGATGCCGCTGCTTTGGCCTCCACGGCTGACGTCTGGGCATCGTGCAGTGTCGGACTGATCTGAACCGTGTACGGTTTAAGCAGCAAGCCGCCATCATCGGCAGGCAGTGGCTGTTTGGGCGTCAGCTTGTGCTCTGGCTTGGGTGATGCGGGGCTGGCACTGCCTGGACTGTGACGCAGTGCGACCACCACAGAGACGGGTATTTCGGGCAGCACAATGGGCACGCCCGGGGGCAACACCGAGGTTGCTGTTGTTGTTGTGGCCGTTGCTTGAGATGTTGCAATGGGGGATGGCTCCTTGGTTGGGTAAGTGTTTAGCCCACACGGCATGCCAGGCTGCAGCAACAGCATCGGCTTCAGCGCAATGGGCGCCTGGAGACCCGCCGTCAGCTGTTTGCTGCCAGCAGCAGCCAGCTCCAGTTTAACGGGCGCACTGCCCGTCAGACTGCCAGAGGCCTCCGACATTGGACTCTTCAATTCGCTAACTGTGCTGGGCTCCTCGGCCATAACATCCTCAATGACCAGCCGCTGCTCGGAATCGGTGCTGTCCATCGACTCGTCCGAGAAGCTAGCGGTGCCCACTGTTGCCGTCACCGGCGGCGTACCAGCTATTGACGAAGTCATCGACGATTGTCCCGCCACTGGCGTCTTGCGCTGCTGTATGGCGCACTCGAGCTTTTGTATTGTCTCGCTTAATTCGCTATTCTTCGCGGACAGCGAGGCGTCCAGTATGGATTTGGTTTCGGGACTGTTGCTGCTGCTCGTCCGATGATATAAATCGCTGAGGACCGCTGACGACAGTGCCGGACCCGTTTGTATCTTGAGCGGCTCACTGAGCAGCTTCAAGGTGTCCAGCTTCAGTATGGAGCTGCTGCTGCTCGGCTCCAATTTAATGCTGCTTGGATGCGGCTGAGGCTCATCTTTGTCCGTGTTGTTGTTGTCTGTTTGACTTTTGGTTTTACTTTGCTCCACTTCCTCCTTCTTCTGACTGATTGCCTTGAGCACCTTGTCCGCTATGGAGCTGGGCTTTTGCTCGTACTTGACCTCATCCAAATCGAACGGACCCGCTGTGCCCGCCAGCAATATCTTGACATTCTCCAGCTTCTCCAGTTTATTGTCCTTGTTCGATTCACCGGAACTGTAGCCGCTGCCCTCGTTCGAGGTGCTTAGCTCAAACACATTGCGCGTCTCCATAAATGGACTGCCCACGAGTTGCTGCTGTTGCTGTGTTGTCTTGGCCACGCCCAACGCCTGAGGCGGCGTACCCAATCTGGGTGAAACGGGCACAGCTATGACCGGTGTGAATGCGGCAGACATAGCTGCAGTTGCGGCTGATGTTGCTGCGGCTGCCGCTGATGCTGCCGGCGGTGTTGCTGGCGTTGTGGGCGGCTGCAGTGCATCCGTTAACGCGCGCGTCGTTTCCTGCACCGTCTGGGCAAGCTCCTCGTTAAGCGCTGTTATATTCAAATTGAAACTGGGCGACTTGCGCAGCACATCGAAGGGCGTGGCATGGCCAGGGGTTAGCTGTGCGCCGCCTACAACAGCTGCGGCTGCAGCTGCAGCTGCTGTGATGCCGCTTGCTTTGGTGGCGGTTGCTGGCGCTGGCTTCGCGCTATTGGGACTTGCTGTTGGCGAGGATTGCACTGTCACGACTGCCTGCTGCTGATGTTGCTCCAGTTTGAGAAGCTTGGGTTTCTCCGTGCACGTGAGGCTGGCTTCCTTAAGCGGCGAGCCGCGTTTCTTGGCCTTGCCAGGCGTGGTTGTTGCTGCTGTCGCTGCTGCAGTTGTTGCTGAGCTTGCGGCATAGCTGCGCGGCTCGTGTGCCGCATGTGGCAATTGATGCTGCTCAATGCTATGTGCTATGGCGCTAGCTTTGAGCGCCTGCTTACGTGCTGCGGCGCTGACAGCAACAGGCGCTGCGACTGTTGCTGCTGCGTTGCCGACGTGGCTACTGCTGCTGCTACTGGCAGCAGCTGCCGTGCCGCTGGCTATGACCGAGGTGCCGGCACAGCTGATGGAGGCCATGGGCGAGATGCGTTTTTCGAACTCGAAGGGCTCCGTATCCTTGAACTCGTACACATCCGAGGGGAGCAGCTTAATGCCGCTGGTTATGTTGCTCATGTGCATGCTGCTGCTGCCGCTGCTGTACTTTGTCTCCTTAGTCATGCCGGCAGATGTGCCTGTTGCTCCTGTTCCTGGCGTTGTTGTTGTACCGCTGCTGATCTCCAGCTTGCTCATGTCCGGCAGCGAGCGTGTGGCCGAGGAGCTGCTGCTCAAACTAACCGTAGTGGCCGCCGAATTGCTGCTGGAACAGAACGAGCTGGAGGACGAACTGGATGAGGACGGCGAACAGGCAGCCGGCAGTTCCACCTTCAATGTGGCTGTCTCCTTATGCAGCACTGGCTCCACAAACTTTTTGCCAGCGTCCATGGAGCTGCCAGCAGCAGATGCCTGCTGTTTCTTTAGCAGCTCCAGTTTCTTGCCAGGCAACAGTGTATTTGTTGCTACTGTAGCTGTTGATGATGTTGTGGATGTTGATGCTTCAGCTTTTTCCACTTTCTTGAGCAATGTCAGCGGCTTCTCCACAATCACCGAGGTGCACTTGGCTGTGCCACCGCCGCTGCTGCTGCTGTTGGCGCCAAAGCGGGCAGGCGCTATTATCGTAGATGATGTTGTGGGCTTTATATCGGCGCCGCTGTGGAATGGCTTCGGGTGCTCCTCCTTGGGCTCCATTTTGAATGGCTTGCGCTCGTCGCCGGCGGGCGTTTCGTGTTTGATATGCAGCTTGTCGGTCTCCTTCTTGATGTTTGGCTGGCTGGAATGCTGCTGCTCCGCATTGGCGGAGGAGGAGGCACTGCTTGCGGCTGATGTTGCTCCGGCAGCGTTCTTGCGCTTATCGCTGACTGTCGGCTGCTTGCGATAGTCAAGTTTTTCAGATGACTGCGAATCCTCGTCGATGTAGGAATCCGTTTCGGATGACTGCTCCGTGGAGCTGCCCGTTTTGGGCTCCTGTTTGGCCTGCGCATCGCTCGATTCGCTCTTGATGGCATCTTTACGCTCGAGCAGCTGTGGCTGGAAGCCCTTCAACTCTGAACGTATCTCGCTGAGATCATAGTCGCGTCCCTTGGCGGCACCACCGCCTCCGCTGCTCATGGCACGATTTCCTGCGCGGGGACGCTGCACAGCCGGCGGCTGGTGCTGCTGTGCCTGCTGTTTGCCTGGCGGCGGTTGTTGTTGCTGCTCCTCCTCCTCATCCTCTTCGCTATACTCACTGACACTGGTGCGTCGAACCGGGGCCACCTTTTTACCACTGCCAGCGGCTGCAGTCGCTGCAGCTGTTGCCTTTGCCTTGCTCTGTTGCAGCTGTTGCTGCTCCTTGGTATTGAGCCGCTTGGGACGACGTACAGGCTCATCAGAATCGGTGTCAGTGTCGCTAGCCATGGAGGCATCCGAAACATTTGCCGACACAGATGCGGAGGCAGAGATGCGACGTCCCTGGTTGCTGTTGATGCTGCTATTCGCAGGCATGGTACGGGTGGGACGTTTATGCTTTAGCTGCAACTGAGACTGCGATGCGGCTGGCGATTTGGTACGACTCGAATTAGAGGCAACCGATGAGGGTGTGGTGGAGCGCGGCGGCATTGAATCGCTGCGTCCACGTCCACGTTTGCTGCCCGCCTGTGCTGTCGCTGTTGATGTCGGCGTCTTGGTGAGGCCCTGCAGCATAGAGACGCTCGTGCCAGTGCCCGGTGCCTGCTGCTGCTGATCCGCGTTGGATGCCGCTTTGCCGGACGCATCTTTAAGCGGCAATGTGCTGTTGCCACTGGGACCGCTGCTGCCGCCGCCGCCGCTGCTATTGATGCTTGTGTTGGCTGCTTGGGTGGGCGCACCACCGCTGTTGGCGCTGCTGGTGCTGATGGTGCGTGTCTTTTGCTTGGAACCCTTGGTTAGATTCTCGGCAATGCGCTCGCGCGGCACCCACTCATCGTAGCGATTGTTCCAGCCGGTATAGTGCACCAGATACATGGGCACGCCGCGCTGTACGCTGATCTCGATGACCTTCGCCTCGTACGTGCTGCCATGGGAGCTGGGCGATTTCTTTTCGTGATAATTGACCTTCAATTTGTCGCCGATGCCGACTTTAAAATCGCCTGTATCAATTTTCTCAACAGTTATTTCGTCCTTCTTGCGCTTGCCGCGTTTCTCGTCGCTTTTGTCCACCTGTTTGCGTTGTTGATGTTTCTCCTTTTTCGTTGCGGCTCCTGAGC